CGTGACTCCCCACGTGATCACAGGACCTACGTGACTCCCCACGTGATCACAGGACCTACGTGACTCCCCACGTGATCACAGGACCTACGTGACTCCCCACGTGAACACAGGACCTACGTGACTCCCCACGTGATCACAGGACCTACGTGACTCCCCACGTGATCACAGGACCTACGTGACTCCCCACGTGATCACAGGACCTACGTGACTCCCCACGTGATCACAGGACCTACCTGACTCCCCACGTGATCACAGGACCTACGTGACTCCCCACGTGATCACAGGACCTACGTGACTCCCCACGTGATCACAGGACCTACGTGACTCCCCACGTGATCACAGGACCTACCTGACTCCCCACGTGATCACAGGACCTACCTGACTCCCCACGTGATCACAGGACCTACGTGACTCCCCACGTGATCACAGGACCTACGTGACTCCCCACGTGATCACAGGACCTACGTGACTCCCCACGTGATCACAGGACCTACGTGACTTCCGTTTTACACTTCAACCTGTCATCAGGACTCTGAGGTCCTTCCTGGATTTTCATCACCAGGATGTGAGAAGATAGATGGAAAGAGCTTGGCAGATAATAAGGACGGCGTTTTAATGGGCAAGACCTGGATGTGGCTTATTCTACTTTAATCGATATTCCAGTAGCCAGAACCCAGTCACATGATCCCACTCAGCTAGAAGATATGCTGGGAAATTTCATTAGGATGAGTGACAAAGAATAAAGGGTAGATTTGGTAAACAAATAACATTGTTTCTGATATAACAGACTATCAATTAGTAAGAGGTACCTATTAAGAAATATCTAATCCTTTAATAACTGAACAGGCTTATAAGTATTCTGAAAATATTAGTGAATATCAAAAGACAAATTACATACAATATTTAACAGATTTTCGACCCACAAAATCAGTTCTTAAAGAAAAACAAATGTTTAGGATTTTAAAGAGTCACAAAAGCATTTCCTAATTAGAAATTAGAAAGTTGACAGGAAAAAAAATGTCTAGATTTTATGGTTGGTAAACCATGATGGGAAAGCTGGAAATAGACACCTCAACTGTAATTAACAATAAGAAAGCCCAAACTAAATTAATGAATATACATGTTGACTTTCAGCTTCAATTCCCTGGAATAATTACTTCACATTAACATATCAACAAGCCAGTAATCAACAGTCTAAAGTCTCAGGTCACTGACTACTTCCTACAAATCTATTTTTAAAATTTTTATTATTATACAGGATTCTGAAAATTTTCTGTCCACATTGCTACATGTTTAATTGCACAGAATCTCATAAATTCTTATAGAACGTGTCTTCTTAATGTTAATTTTATCATTACGTTAATGAGAATATAATAGAACTGTACTCTGATGGCAGTGCTGACAGTCAAAGCCACCAATTTATCAGCAACCATCAAATAGCAGCAAACATTTATCAGTTGTGGACAGAACAGCATAACAATCATATCTCTTCTTTTCCTGACTGATATAGTGGATTGTACGGTTACAGTGTAGACTACAAAGTATTCCAGATATCCCTATTTTTGTAGATTCCTAACAAAACGTGTAACCTTTTTCCACTTTACTGACTTCTTTATCATAAGGGTTTTTGAAAAAGTCTTAGAGGTTCAGCTACTTTTTCATCATAAGTTAGGCAAAGATAATCACATTATATAAGCTCACATTTCATAAATCTTAGTCAAATAACATCATCACATTCACATTTAAAATGTACTTAAGTCCATCTGTTTTATTTTTTCATATCTTGCCTAGCCTAGAATGGTTTTGATTCTCTCATAAATTATGTTGCCTATTCAGATCTAATGCTTAAGAAAGCTTACTTAAAAAAGCAGGGAGAGTTCCATAATTCTATGTCTCAAACATTAAATTGAATTTAAGTTCATTACTTCCAAAAGTCTTAGAAACTGAATAATATGCAAATAATTAAAAATAATCAGATACAAAAAATAAAGTGAATTGTTTGGATGTTTTAGAAGTATAGAATAAAAGCCCGATTAAAGCATGTGCTCATGAACCAGACTTGGTCCAATCCCCGGGTCCAGCACTTGCTAGCTATGTGACCTTGGGTTTAGGATGCTGCATTGCCATTCACAACACGAGAGCATTGATGACACCACCCAAAAAGTCATTGTGATAACTCTGTTAGCTCCAACATAGGAGGCACTGGACTAGTGCTTGGTGTGTTGTAAATAATATGTGAGTGTTACCATTGTTTATCTCGTAACTTAAGTTTTCTAAATTCAAATTCCTAAACGTAAGATACATTTCTACTATTTTGCAAAATTGTAATTTGATAGGAGTAGCAATGCGGCATTGTTAATAGTATTATTCTCACCCACGTCATTACTCACACCCAGAAATGTGATTTAATAACCACTGCCTACATAATTTCTCTTCTTGGACATATTAGCTACATACATTCTTCTGATTTATCTGCTACGTGATTAAAAACCAGGAATCATTTCTTAGCATTACATTTTGTTATTTTATTAATTACTAAAAATATTTATTTTACCCATTATGGATGACACATGCGACACCAGATATGACATACAAAAGGTCTTCCAATCTGGCACGGAAGACATAAATCTTAATCACATAACTTTTATATAAATCTGTATGTTAAAAGTGTCACATGATTATTCCTTTTTTTAAAAAAGAAGCAATGTAATTTTTTCTTCACTAAATGGTCATTCAGCTACAACTTACATTTTCAGATTCAAAATGTTTTTCCTAGTTTTAAAATTCAATGCTTTCAATGTAAAACCTTGTGTTTCAGTTTGTTTACAAGATAGTATAGCTCCTTCATCTCTGAAAATAGAAGAATAAATTATATAACTTATTATAACTGTTAACTTTGTCTGCCAGGAAGCAAAATATAGAAATGATGTCAATTATTGAAGTTTTTCTTTGTGTCATTTCTTAAAAAATACTTTTCTTTATATTTTCCATTTACATATTTTTATTTCTAGTTTAATTAATGACATTGCATATGTCATTTTAATAAATCAGCTAACACTCTGCTAAATATTTATCATTTCTTTGTGTTGGGAACATTCAAATTTTTTTTGCTTAAATTATATTTTCTCTTTTTTTCATAATATCATTACTGCTTTAATGATAACCATTAATAAAATGACTCCAAATTGGATTTTTTCTTTTGGAATTTGAATTTTTATTTAAATAAATGTTTCTGAACTCAAAAACTATGTAGGGAACTAAAATGGAGGAAATATTAGGATGTGTGGACATTTAACAATGAGTGACATAAATTTATAAATTTTGTTAACCAATGATGGATGACAGACTTTATTTGGTGTATGTGTTTTGCTCTCCATAGATCTAACTTTGAATACAAAGAAAGATTATACTACATCCCTTATACTGTATTAAGCACTAACTTTTGGTTTTTAACTTTAATTAAAATGAACGTTTTTTAAATTAAACCCGTTCCTGATTATTCAAAGCTTAGAAAAGTTAAGAATCATATAAAATAGGCAAAAGTTTGTCAATGATTTTAGTTTCCAGTAAAAGATACCTGAAAATACTAACTTTATTCTCACGAGTATCACTGAGAATTTAAATGCCCAGGTTGGCATAACCCATGACAGGTTATATTCTTCTTTTGAGTTACAGTCAGTGGTTTAGAAAAGTCACAAGTCATGAGGTTGAAAGCGAACTACTCTTAACACTTATGAAGTCAGTAAATCTCATTGTTAATCATTACCCTTGAACAAGTTTATGTAGTTCTGTGAAAAGTCCATAGATTTAAAATATATAGCTCTATAATAATATACTTTTAAACTACTGTAAATATTTAAACTACTCATATTTCCTATGAAAAACTCAGAGGTCAACTATATAGATATAGATTCATATATATCTCTATATATTTCCTTAGGTTAAAACACACACAAATTTTGCAATACATTTTCCTCCATATATATGGATACATATATAATAACCTCCTTAGGTTATTGTAATAAATAGTAACAGCATTATCAAATCAAATCCATTGCCTCCAGCTCAAAACGTCTTAATCATTACATAATGAATTTCACATTAGGGCCTCAGTCCTATGTGTCTTATCCACCATCCCTAGGGCAGGGTCCTTAAACTATTGGATCTAGAATCATCCTGAGCCAACACATTCATGTTCTGAGTATTAGCGTGGAAGAAAAACAAAACAGGAAAGCAGAGGTTTTCAAAGTGTACCATCATTTAACAGCAGTATCAGCGTCATTTAGGAACTTACTAGAAATGCAAATTCTCAAGCGCTTCTCCAGACTCCCTGATGTAAAACTCCAGGACAGAACTCAACCCATCTGTTGGTGGTGGTCATGATTCTTTTTTTTATTAACAAGTCCTTCAAGTGATCATGGTGCACCCCAAAGTTTGTGAACCACTGCTCTAAGGATGTATCCCAGAAGTTACACACACCTCTTTCCCTCACACACTTAGTCATATGGCCACACATCACTAAAAAGCAGGCTAGGAAGTGTAGTCATTATTTCAAGTAGCCATAAGCCCAGCTCAAAGCCAGGAATTTCATTTTCTCATGGTAATCTGAATCACGGTAAGCATTATCACCCGTGCCATGTAAAAGGAAGGGAGGGGGTCACAACTACAGAAAGCAGGATGCTTTTCAAGATATTATGCTTTTTTCATTAAAACTTTTACTTTTGTTGAAAATGGTTTTGATTAAAATCAGACTGCTAGCTTTCTGTATTTACTGGTTTTAAAGACAGCTCTTTTCTCTTATTCGATTTTTAAATCTTACATGAATCATAGGAAATGGGGACCATTTTTCTCTCCATGTCAAAGATAAGAAAACTGAAACTTCCAAATTATAGGTTACCTTACTCAAGATCTCATACACCTAGTAGGGGGAGTCAGATCTAGAAATCAGCTTTCCTTACCCAAAGCACTTTACACATTTTCTTTTTTTTTCCTTTATTCAGTCTCTGTAGAGACTGTCAAAAATTGCCACTGCCAACTGTATTTCAGGTTGTCATGGCGGGGTTTTGGGAAAAGTTTCAGTTAGCGACAAGTGCGCCTCAGATAAACCTCATTGGCCGTGATACTGCCACTTAGTTTTCCTCTTTTCTTTTCCTGCCTTCCAAAGTACTGTTTTCCTGGAAATGTTCACCAAGAAAATCTTGAACCCTTTTAAAATGTGAACGCTAAAATAATAGTTTATGTAGCAAGACTAAAAGAACTTTACACTTACAATACTAATCAGAATGAGATACACTTGACATTTTCCTCCATTTATTGTTTATATTTCAATCATTGAAACATCAAAGAAATAACCAGATTTTAATAACTGAGAAATGTTAATAACTCAAGATACATAGTTGCCTAGGTCTAATATTTCTAAACTCTGATTTGAAGTTAAACTAATGTGACAACGCAATCTTTAAGAGACGATGATGACTGATGTTAAATTGTTGCTTGTTTTTCCATTTAAAACTGCGAAAACAGTTGTTATGACAGGCGCTATGATGAGAATAGAAAGTGATTAAAAGTTACCATGTACTTTTGATATCGTGACCAGAATATTAAATTCTACTCAAGTCACTCTTTAAAGGTTTGGAAATATTTATTGGTAGGGTTCTAATAACAGAAACTGATGATTTGATCTAGCATTTCATAATTTCCATTTGAAAACAAAAACAGCTATGTAGTTTACAAATATGAAACTAAATGTAACATAATCAACATAACGCATTAGTAGTAACCACATATTTTAGAACACAGAAAAAATAACTTTATTGAAAGGACATATGAGTTTAATGCTACACAGCAGAATAAACGCCTTATATTGTGACTAGTATAGGTTTGTAACGCCATAAGGGTCAGCAGCATGGAGGGTTACCTGGCCATGATGTAGGCAATGTCAGAGGTAACCCCTTTGCTCTGTGCATGCTGTGTCTGAAGCGATACAGTTACCGACCCAAAAGACCCATTTTCAGTCTCAGAATTGAAATTTTTCTCTGCAGAGGTCCCAGATACAAAAAGGAGGAATTTGGCATTAGTACTCCTGGGGGAAAGAATGTTCATAAAAGAGGTCATAAACAAATAGCTGTAATTTTATAAATGATAAGATTTAATCAGCATTCACAAGGAATGGAATAAAACTACTACATGACCCTAATGATCACGAAGGAAGTGATCATTCTGCCTCTACAGAGCACAGATCACATGATGATAATAATTATACCAAGTTACCATATACTGAAATTCATATCAGATTAGACCCTATGTCAAGTATTATGTACACTATCGCAGTTAATCTTCATTGCCTACCATTCGGGGTATTCTTCCATTTTTATTTTAATTAACTTATTTTTTGAGATGGAGTCTTGCTGTGTCACTCAGGCTGGAGTACAGTTGCAGGATCTTGCCCCACTGTCACCTCGGCCTCCTGGTTCAAGCGATTCTTGTGCCTCAACCTCCCAGGTAGCTCGGATGACAGGCACATGCCACCATGCCTGGCTAATTTTTTTATTTTTTGATAGAGAAGGAGTTTTGCCATGTTGGCCAGGCTGGCCTCGAACTCCTGACCTCAAGCAGTTCACCCACCTTGGCCTCCCAAGGTGCTGGGATTACAGGAGTGAACCACAGCTCCCAGCCTACTCCCTTTTTAAATAAGGAATCAGAATTATAGAAATTCAGTTCTTAAAGTCATGTCGTTATAGCAGGGAAGCAGCTGTGTAAGCAAGGGTTATATTTCTCAGCTCCCACTTCTGCCCAGGAAGTCTGATGATGGTTCTCAGCAACAAACAAAGGTGACTGTCGCTTCCAGATCCAGGCATTTAATAAGCTAGCAGCCTTCTCTAGGTTCTCTCACTCTACCCATCAAGTGGATCTGAGGCCCTATACAAGAGATGGCAGAGGCCTCGCTCCCTGAATCATTCTGTGTGGGAGAGCTGCTTTGCATTTTTATTGGTTAAGCTATGGATATATCTGGGTTTCCTTTTTACACTTGTGTAACTCTAACTACTACAGCCAGCAAATGGTGAAATATAAAATAAACCCAAGTTTGTCTAATTATTGGACCCCTGTTGGCTTGTGTACGTTCTCCTGCTGTACCTGGAAGAGTCTAAGCAGAACTGCTCATGTTGTAAGATGGCTTCTCCATCAAGGAGTCACACTGCAAGTTGAGAAGAGCGCTACTAATAGTAGTAGCTAGTTGTTTTATACCCTAAGAAGAGAATGTTAGTAACTCACCAAATAATCATAATCATAATAATAACAGGCCTGCTGAGTCAATTCACTGAGCCAGATTTATAGGTATACTATTGCCTTCCACATTCATTGAAAGAAATAGATCTCAACGTCTCTATTCAAGGGAAAACTCAAACACCTTATTTTTTCCTCAGGCCTAAGCCTAGTCCTCCAAGACAATTTACAGAAGCCACGCGTTTGGGGTTTAGGGAAGGGAATCACAGACTGACAGGACTAAAACTGTGATCTGGATTTGATTAGCATTTTGTCTGTAGCTATCTCTCCTGCTGCCACTCTTGTTCCAGTGTTCCCTGTGACATCCCCATTGCTCAGCACAATCACAGGCACAGAATAAGATCTGGGTGTCCATACACACTGTTAAATAAAAGAAAGAGCAAAATCAAAGCTATGCTTTCCCAGGGAAAACGTTCTCTCTTTCGTTTATTTTATTACGTGTGGTGATACTATGTTAAATGTTTTCTTTTTTTAAAAAACCTTATTAACCAAAAATATAGCATTTTTATAAAAACCCCAACATTTTAATTGAGAATATTCCAGTACACCAAATTCCCTATCACAGAGGTTCTCAACCCATCAAAAGCAAGTGGGCCTCGTCACCCTTCACAACCCCCAGCCCCACGACAAGAAGCAGACGTTCAGGCCGATAACACAACACTGACTCAGAACACACTTACAGGAAGACTCAAGTCACCGTTTTCTCGAAGTACTGCAATGATAAGATACAACCAGACTGAGAGTCGTCCTCACAGCCACAAAAATGCAGAGCCTTTGTAATAAACATATTCATATAATAACAAATAGCTAACATTCAATGAGTGTGTAGTGGGTCCCTAAGTCAATGCTGTCATTCTCCCTTTAATCACCACAAATATTATTTAACGTAGATATTAGCCTAATCTCACAGAATAGCAAACTGAAGGTTTGAAAGACTGAGGATATTTTTCAGGGTTACAAAGTCATTAAATGATGACCCCTACATTCAACACTTTTCTCTTGGATACACAGAGTTTATGCCTTTGAACTTCTGTATACACTTCCTATGCAAAAAACCTCCACAAATAGGTTTACATAAACAGTTATCCCACCTAGTCTAATTTACTGAGATTCTTAGGATAAAATTCACTCTGAGTGGACTCTTCTTACAAACAGTGATCTAGCACACATTGATTTCCAGAGATTTTTTTAAATGGTTATTGATGTTCTGATCCATAGCAGGTCTTAATATTGTTTCCAATTAGTTTTGGGGGACCCCTTTCAAGCTAACATATAGCATAGAAAATGGCAAAGACTTCTGAGACTATGGAATTTTAATGGTTTTTTTTAAAGAGAAAAAAGAAAGAAAGGAAGAAAAAGAAAAAGAGAGAGAGAAAGAAAGAAAAAAAGAATAAAAGAGAGAAAGAGGAAGAGAAAGAGGGAGAATGGGAGTCTTGCTCTATTGCCCAGGCTAGAATGCAGTCTAAAAATGGGTATTAAAAACCTCTTTTATGCCAATAAATGTGCTTAACAATGGAGACAGGAAGGAATAAGGGAGGAAAATAACGAACAAGCAGCCAACCAATATTCCATTTAAACCTGTGAAATGCTATGCAATTGCTGAGGAGTGATTTACTTCCAATTTTGTGGTCACTATTAAAATAGGTGTGATGTGATACTGAGAAAAATGTATGTTTTGTGGATTTGGGGTGGAGAGTTCTGTAAATGTTTATTAAATTTACTTATTTCAGGTCTGAGTTCAAGTCCTGGATATGTTCCATATTATATATGGAACATAAAAGGAAAACTATTTTGCAAAATGCTCTACTGTCTGAAAATTGATCAGGATGGGAAAATCACATAACCTAATTTTCTTGGGACAGTGTTGGTTTGAACCTGCTGTCCTATGAAAATGGAAAAGGGAAGAGTAATATCTTAACTCCAAGGCTTTTGTGAAAATTAATACAAATAAAGTTTTTGGTAAGTGGCTGCACCTGTTAAATATACCATAAATGTTCAGTATTATTACTGCAATTATTAGTGCAAACAGGTGTTAAAAATCTCACTCTTATTCTCTACAACATATATTTGTAAATTTTTATTAGCTCTAAAAGTACATGTTTCAAATTTTCCTATTATTCCTTACTCTATCTAAAGAAGTGTTTTAAAAAATAAATCTTGAGTGTCTCTAGAAATTGTTTTTACTTGTGGCAATTCTGCTCAGCCAATGAGTCCATTATGAATCCCAATTTCAGGTAACAGAATGTTTAAAATTGAGGCAATGACTCCATTACCCAAGCTGAAACACAGTATTTCAGCTTTATATGTACTATATCAAAAAGAACATGGTAAATAGGTGCTTCCCTTGTGAAATGTAAGCAAATTAAATTCAGGTCATATGAGGCAATAAATTAGCATTTGTTTTTTAGTTACTGTAGATTGCCTTTTCCCTTCCATTTCTTGAATTCAAATCTTATATGTGCTATAATTTACACACTTATTGAGCTTAATATATCGTAACACATTATAAATTGAGAGCAAAAAAAAATTATAATGTCTAACCACCCTTTTATTTATACTGTAATGCCCACAGGAGAAAAAAGATGTAAATTTATACTGTCATCTACAAGTAAATACAGAAAATGTATAAAGCCGTAATTTATGTACAAACCATCCATGCTGTTTCTTTTTTTTTTAATTTCAAAAGGTTAACAGCCAGCATTTGTTATAAAGCATCCTTGTCAAAAATAATCTAATAAAAAAGATAAAAATTAGTAACTGAATCCATTTGAACCAGTTTGAAATACATGAAGTAACAAATAGCTTGTTACAAATAAATTAAGGCAAATTCCCCATTCTTTTTTCTGGCATG